AGACACTGATTCGGCTGCCTCCTGCACACCTCCTACTGGGGATGTGCCTGCAATCAAGGTACATGCCCTTGACCGGAATCGAACCTGGAACCTTTCAGTCTGCAGGCCGACGCTCTAGCCACTGAGCCAAACCCGTTAGGGCATCTCCCATTTTCTTAATGAGAAATCGAACACTACTTGCCCGACGTAACTCTGCTAGTAAGATCTGAATCCCGGTTTCTCTGACTGCACGTTTACTCTGCATCCAGTGTTGCAAGACCTGAGCAGCTTGGTGCATTTCTTTATTAGAGGAAATAAATCCACAGAACTCAGAGTAAACCTCCAGGATCCCAGAGAGCCAGGCACCCCGGTTGGAGAGGCATTGTTTGGGACACAGTGCTTCCTGGGAGACCCTGAAGAACCAGCCTGCAGAGAGTATGTGGAGAGGCTAGCAGAGGGCATTTCAGGAAGGAAGAAGTGGGAGGGGAACATTAAAAAAAAAAAAAAAAAAAGCAAAGGATGCTGAAACCGGTTTGGCTCAGTAGATAGAGCATCGGCCTGTGGACTGCAGGATCCCAGGTTCGATTCCGGTCAAGGGCATGTGCCTTGGTTGCAGGCACATCCTCAGTGGAGGGTGTGCTGGAGGCAGCTGATCGATGATTCTCTCTCATCGATATTTCTAACTCTCTCTCTCCCTTCCTCTCTGTGAAAAATCAAGAAAATATATTTTTTTTAAAAGAAGAAGAAAAGAAAAAGAGAAAGAAAGAAAGAAAGAAAAAGAGAAAGAAAGAAAGAAAGAAAGAAAGAAAGAAAGAAAGAAAGAAAGAAAGAAAGAAAGAAAGAAAGGAAAGAAAGAAAGAAAGAAAGAAAGAAAGAAAGAAAGAAAGAAAGAAAGAAAGAAAGAAAGAAAGAAAGAAAGAAAGTAAACGATGGCTGTGAGTCAGGAGACAGTGCAAGTACCAAGTCTTGAGAGTCTGGCTCGGTGTAGGGAAATGAGAGGGTGGAGGGCAGGGGCGCCGTCACAGAGGCCTGAGGCTCAGCTCAGTTTGTGCTCCAGGTTACTGAGCTAGAGAGCAATACAGTCTGCCCTCCACATCTGCAGGTTCAGCACCCGCAGATTCATCCCATTATGGATAGAAAATAGTTAGCGTGAAAGCATTGCATTGTAGCTGACGTGTGCTATTAGGCCTGCGATGGTTGTGTCTGTATTGAACATGCAGACATTGTTTTGTTTTTCATTCTCCCCTAAACAATACAGTATATCAACTACTTACCTAACGTTTACATTATATTAGATATTATAAGTGCTCTAGAGGTTATTTAAAGTATATGAGAGAATGTGCATAGATTACATGCAAATATGGTGCCATTTTATATAAGGGACTCGGGCATCCTCAGATTTGGGTATTCACGGATTCCTAGAACCAATCCCCCCGTGAATACCAAGGGATGACTGTTCTCCAAAAGAAGTGTTTCAGATACCATAATCAATAAAGAAATTAAAAAAAAAAAAAAAAAGAAGAAGTGTTTGAGACCTAGGCTAAAGGGAAAGGTAGAAAATGAAGAGGGCTGCTGAGCCCAGCCGGTGTGGATCAGTGTTTGAGTGTAAATCTAAGAACCAAGAGGTCCCAGTTTCATTCCCTGGTCAGGGCACATGCCTGGGTTTCAAGCTCAATCCCCAGTAGGGGGCATCTCATCAGAAATTTCTTTCTCTCTATCCCTCTACCTTCCTCTCTCTCTAAAATAAAATTTAAAAAATTAAAAGGAGAGCTGCTGAAAGGTTGGTATTACAATCTAGGCAGGTAGGATGATCTGATAAAACATGTAGATATTGTTTATCTAAAAAACATTTCCAAAGAAATTGAGCATTTTGGAGCCATCTGCTCCTTCCCAAGGATTGCTATCTAAGTTAGCCTTTGGGGAGGTGTGGGGGGGGGGGGGTAAGCAGAGGGAGAGAAGGGAAACACTGGTGTCTGCAGCTCTGAGCCTTCCCACTTGCAGACGGACCTCTGGTCAGACGGCGGCTAGGCCCTGAGTGAGAGCGCTCGGCACACTGAGCTGGACACTGGCCTGAGGACTTGGGTCTGGGAGGCCCAGGGTCCTGGCCTGCCAGTTCTTTGGGGTGGAGCAGGTGGACAGATTGTAGACCTGGAGCCTGAAGCAGCGGTTTTTGTGTCTTTTTCAATTCTTTCCAAAGGATGATTCCTCTCCTTGGGTGGCAAAAAAAAAAAAAAAAAAAAAAAGCAAACGAGCAAAATTTGGTTACTAACTCAAGAACTGCCAATTCAGAAACTAATCTGCTCAGAAAGTTAAGTCCTTTTTTTTATTTCAGAGGCCAAAAACCTATTTCCACAGAAGACTGTATATGTCTGTGTGTCTGAGAGCCGGTGAGGGAGACAGAGTGAGTGCGAGAAGGAAAGAGCTGAGACGCCTTTGTTCCTGTGTGTGAGGCTGCCGCTCTGGGGCTTGTGCGCGCGCAGATGATTGTGTGAACATTAGTGCCTGTTTCTCAGGCCCCTGTGTACGTTGAACTTTCAAACCATAACAGAAACACTGAAGCTTGGCAGAGAATAATTATCTAATTTTGGAACATGTTATTATAATACCTACATGATGTGTAACGAACTTAACAATGTTCGCGTTATATTCACCAACTCCGAGTTACAGACCCACAAAGCCAAGTCCTACAGACTTCAGAGGCTTCTCTCTCCAAGACCCAGGCGCAGAGCAGGCCCTAACGAAAACCCTGGAAGGAATATGGCCCCCCACAAGGGCCCCCCCTTGGATCCAAAGGGGGAGGGGTGGGCAGAGCCTAACTTGGGATAGCGACTCTGTTCCTCCCAGAATCCCCCTTCCTCCCCAGTAGGGGACTCTCTGGAACTGGAAAGGGAACAGCCATATTGGGGTCACAGAGGCTGATAGGCTTTTCCCTGACTCAGCTGTGGGCCAGGAGGCCTGGTGATCAGCCAGGCTCTATCCTCTTCCCCAGGGGGGCTGGATTGAATTGAAGCTGAGTGTGAGGGGGAATGTTTGCTGTTTGCTGCTGCTCCCTGCTGACTTTAGCCAGTAGCTCTGTTTACAAACCCAGGTTGGTTTTCCCAGCACAGTTAATTAGACCAGAGACATCTGGTGTGAGGGCTGGGGAGGGCATCTGCTCGGAGCCTTCCCCCCACACCCAGCAGCCATGGGCCAGTGCAGGGCAGAACGGCTAAACGGAACCAGACAGAACTCCAGCAAACCCAAGGTTCTCAGGAGAATCGTGGCTTCTTCTCTCGTGCTGCCTCCCCCATGCTTGCTAAGTCAGACGGGACCCCAGGAATCAGGGTTGGGTGCTCCAACCTCTGGGGGATCACAGGCTGGAGATCAAGGACTCAGCTCTCTCCTCTGCCCTTCCATGTCCAAGAATCTCTGTCCTCTCTCTCATCGCAGTAACTCTGTTCTGGAGGAACACCGATTTCTTTGGCCCCCTGCAGGAAAATCTCCCCTCCCTGGCCACGCCCTCAGAAAGGAGGTTCTGGGCCCTCCTCCCTGTCCCTGACACCTCTTCAGGCAATCTCTGACACTGCGGGGGAGGAATGTGATTGATCAGTCCAGGACTAGAAGGGGGCGGGGGGGGGGGCGGGAAGGTGCCCAGGAAGGTGAGAGGAGCTAGGTGGACAGTTCCAGGGCGACGGGGAAGTGGAGGGCTGGGAGGGGGAGGGGCAGCGGCTTATCTCTCCCAGGAGGGGGGGAGTTCACTCCAAACAGCTAATGCACTGGCGTGTGAAAGCCCCTCAATTAGCACTAATGATGCAATCAGGGAGGGAGGAGGAGGGACCAGGAGTTTTGGTGGAGTCAGCACCAGCTTACACACAAAGTATACACACACTCCCTTCCTCCGGCACAGTGGCCCCTTTAGACACGCCAATGCGCGCACTCCACAGACGGTGTGGACCACGCACATCCGTGGGTTAAAAAAAAAACACCGCCTTTTTTGCAGAAACTAGCTAGCATGCACTTGGTTCGGGATCCGCCGCTGACCGCGTCTGAATGCAGGGATTCCCGGAGTAGGAGAAAGGGTTGGGGACAAGGAAAAAAAAAAAAAAAATCAGACATCGGAAAGACTTGTCAGAGGAGGTTGCACGGTGCATCTCCGAAAACATGATTCTTCCTCCGATCTCAGAGTTCCTGTCCCACGCGCGCTCGCAGGTGCAAGCCCCTCTGCGATCTCCCCCCTCCGCAAACCCCCACCCCCACCTCGATTCCGGGCCTTGGGCCAAAAGCCGTCACCCCCGGCCTCACCGGCGGGAGGTGGAACCCACGGGAATTTCCTGCGGGGCCCGTCCGACCTCTGGCCCCGGGGCCCGGGAAGGGCGCTCTGGGGTCACACGGCTCTCCAGACCGACCCCAGTTGCTCGCCCTCTCCCAAGTCCGTTACGCGCGGCCTCGCCCCTTTCCTACTCTCCCACCCCGCCCCGCCGCGCCGGCTCCGTTATCCGCCTCCCGGTCGGTCCCGTTATGCGGCCGCCGCGGCCCCGTTATCCGCCTGGCGCTGGGCCGCCGCCGGCCCCTCCCCCGCGCCCCCGCCGGAGCCCGGGGGCCGCGCGCTGGGCAGGGCCAGGGCCGAGCCGCCTCCGCGCCGCTTCCCAGGCCCGGCCGGCCGCGGGAGGAGGTCCTGCTGTCAGTCAGCGGGGAAGGCCGGGCCGGGAGGCCGGAGGAGGCGGCGCCGAGGACGGCTCGGGCCGGGAGCGGGAGGCGGAGGGAGGCGGAGGGAGGCGGAGGGGGCGGAGGCGGGGGCGGCTCCGGGCCTTATAAGCGGCGGGGGCAGGGCGGGCCTCCGGGAGGGAGGCAAGTGTCAGGCCGATGTGCCGCCCGCCAGGGGCCGGGGTCGGGGCGGCCGGGGCCATGCGCACGAGCTGGGCAGGGGGCCGGCGGGGCGCGCCGCGGAGCCGCCTCGGAGCCTGAGCCTCCGGGCCGGGCCGGGGAGCGCGCGCGGGGGGCGGCCGGCCGGCCGGGGGAGGGGAGGGGAGGGGAGGGGAGCGATGCGGCGCCGGCGGGCGGCGGTGGCCGTGGGCTTCTGCGCCTCCTTCCTGCTGGGCTCCGTCCTCAACGTGCTCTTCGCGCCGGGCTCGGAGCCCCCGCGGCCGGGCCAGCCCCCCGGGCCGTCGCCAGCCCCGGGCCCGGGCCGTCGCGGGGGCCGCGGGGAGCTGGCCCGGCAGATCCGCGCGCGCTACGAGGAGGTGCAGCGCTATTCCCGCGGGGGCCCCGCGCCCGGGGCGGGCCGGCCCGAGCGGCGGCGCTTGATGGACCTGGCGCGGGGCGGGCCGGGCCTGCAGCGACCCCCCCAGCCCCCCGGGGCCCGGCCCCTGCCCGACGGCTCCCCGAGCTGGCCCCCGGCCCCCGGCCCCGGCTCCCCCGGCTCCCCCGGCCCGGGGGGCCCGCGCCTGGGCTGCGCCGCGCTCCGCAACGTGTCGGGCGCCCAGTACGTGGGCTCGGGCTACACCAAGGCCGTGTACCGGGTCCGCCTGCCCGGCGGCGCCGCCGTGGCGCTCAAGGCGGTGGACTTCAGCGGCCACGACCTGGGCAGCTGCGTGCGCGAGTTCGGGGCGCGCAGGGGCTGCTATCGGCTGGCGGCCCACAAGCTGCTCAAGGAGATGGTGCTGCTGGAGCGGCTGCGGCACCCCAACGTGCTGCAGGTAGGAGGGCGGCATGTGTTGGGGGGGTTGTGGGGGGGAGAAGGTGCCGGCTGGACCGTGTCAGGCTCGGGCGCTCCAAGAAACGGAGCCCCAATAACGGTGCCCAGGGGAAGCCAGGGGCAGACTCTGTACTGTGGCCGCTCCCCAGGACCCAGCCGAGGGTCCCAGTCCTGGGTGGGTGTCCCCTGGCGGAGGGACTCCTGGGGTTCTCAGCTCCCACGCTGTTATTTCTTGAAGACGGAGGCCAGGGCAGAGGATCCCAAGCTTGGGGTGAGGGCCCTAAACTTAAGGTGGAGGTCCGTGAGCACTTAGGGCCCTGTTTCTCACTGGAACTAGAGGGGGGTGAGCACCAGGAAAAGGACCCCAAGCCAGGACTCGGGACAGCAGTCATCCCTGGGTCAGGATCCCTACTGTGGTCATAGGGTCCCCTTTCGTGATGGAATCTGGACCCCACTTCTCTCGAGTTCCAAATAGTGTCGTTTTGGAGATGGGGTGGGACAGCAATGGGGTTGGGTAGGGCCAGAAAGAGACCTTATGTCCAGCTTGATTCTCAGAGAAGACCCCCACCCTTTCCCCACCCAGAGACCACTGGAGGGATTGAGGGGGTTGAGTAGTAGGCCAGAAAGTGCACGGCCCTTCTCAGATGTGGCCCTGGGATTCTCCAGGCCTTCACGTGGGCCCTTGAGCCCCTGGAGAAGGAAGCCTCAAGTTCTTTCTTAGCTCAGTGCTCAGGGGACAGGCTGAGGGCCCGAAGGCCTGAGGATCACATTCTCTGAGCAGACGTGGCTAAGAGGCTGAAAGATGGAGAAGGCTAGATGCCCACGTTTCTATTCAATGGGACTCTGTCTCTCCTGTTCACTGGGCAGGGGGGAAAGAAGAGATGACCCCCCCCCCACACACACGCACACACACACCTTGGCCCCTCCAGGCCAGACTAAGAGAGTGGGCCTCTCCCAGCCCCAGCACTGCCCTCACACAGCCACTTCCTCCTCTCCTCCAGCTCTCTGTCCTTGAGTCGGCCCTAGGAGTAGACAAACTGTTCCCTTCGCACATGTCTGAGCAGTCCGAGAGAGGAATCCCTGGCTGCTTTTGGCCCACTAGGAACCTTGCCCGTACATTCCACCTCCTAGCCCATTCAAGCTAACCTTTCTGCAGCTGGCAGAACTGACCAGAAACCCAGGTTCCTTCCCCCTTCCCTAAGGAGTAAGCTGGCCCCCAGGCCTATTGCAGAAGAGGGTAGCCAGGCAGGGAGCTGTGTCGGGTCCTGCTGGCTCCCAGTCTCCCCAGGCTTTCCTAGCCCTGATCGGACACTTGTGACCGAGTTCTGGGCTCTGACTTGGTTGCTGGAGGTCAGGCAGAGCCAACCATTGTGAGTGGCTGTGCCTGGTGGCATGGCTGACACTGTGTCTGGAGCTTAAAGGAGGGAGCGGCTGGTTACTTGGCCATTCTCACGGAGAGGATCTTGTCTTTGCTTCTAAGGGGCTCTTGGAAAGCCCCTAATTTATGGAAACCCTGGAGTGTCAGCCAGATTATGAGTTGGTGGAGGTCTTTAGTGACTTAGGAGGATGTTAGTGTTAATTGACTCACAACACACACACACACACACACACACACACACACACACACACCTTTGGACAGGTTAGAAGTTGTATGAGCTTTCCTCTCTCTTAGGGAACTTCTCACCCCACAGATTTCCAGACAAGCATCCAACTGATGGACACCCCCCCCCCCCCCACACACACACACACATCACAGAATGGATCGCCACTATAATGTCAGGTCCCCGACCCAAGAACACCAAAAAAAAAAAGTTAACAACAGAATAATTTTCACCCCTTCCCTCCGGAGACCAAGATTGGTTGTCTGGGGTTGGCTATGGGACTCTCATGGGGTCAAAGCTGGGGTTAGCTGCCCTAGGGCACAGGATATAAGGTGAGTGAGGCCCAGGTCCTTTCTGTTGGATGCATGAAAAACTACCAGAGGCAGGGCCGGGACTGTGGGCTTAGGGGCTTTTTGGGAGTGGATCTCCCGCTACATTCCCCAAGCCCCAGGCCAGGGTCCCTCTGGCTTCTCCGCAATGCCACCTCTGCTTCCAGGGAGCCTGCGTGCCGTCTTGTTCAGGAGGGTGTGCAGGGAACTAGAAATAAAGTTGTTGTAATACCTCTGAATCATTTAAAATTTCAAAACCATTTGACTGTTTGCTGAACTGGGGAGGAGCCAGAGAATATTTCTTAGATTTCCAGCTCCCCCAGACCTCCAGAGGTCCCCTCCCCCTGTCTGGCAGCCCCCAAGTTGGTGCAGTGTCCTTTAAAAAAAAAAAACAAAACTTTTTTATTGATGGATTGCTTTTTTTTTTTTTTTTTTTTTGAGAGTTGGGGCGGGGGTGGGGGGGCAAGGAGAGACAGACTGACAGACAGACATTGACTTGTTATTCCATCCATTCACTGATTTGCTTCTTGTATGTGCCCAGACCAGGGATCGAACCAAAAACACTGGTGCTTCCAGACAATACTCCAACCAACTGAACCACCCAGCCAAGTCATTAAACGCACTGTTAACAAGATATTAACACCCCTCAGGAAAAAATAAAAATTCCAATAGAAAATGTCCAGGATAGCATGTCCCCCAGGGTACCTTCCAGTGCCTTGCTCTGGTCTCCTGGGACTGCGTGAGCGAGATTTCTCTATCCACCTTCTGTGACTCCCCTCCCCAACCAGCCCCGATACACACACACACACACACACACACACACTCCCTCATGTGATAGATGTCTCTGTAGCCCAGGGTCAAAGGGCACAAAGGTCTTCCTTCCAACCCCCTCCGTTGTCCCTGGAGGCCCCAGGCCTGCCTGAGCCCCGATTCTGGCCCTGTTAGAGAGGATATTTCTTCTCCCAAATGAACAAAAGATACGGCTGAAATGCTCAGCCTCGAGCTTCCTGGGGGGGTTAATGGTGTCTTTTTATTTTTTCCTGAGGGGTGTTGATTAATACCTCGTTAACAGCGCATTTAATGACCTCCGGGTGTTTAATAACCTTCAGAAGTTTCCCACAAAGGCTCAGACTCTGGGCAAGAAAATGAGAACCAGGCCCCGGGGCTGCTCCCCTTACCTTCCCCCGCCCTACCAGGGTCTGGGGCCTCCCCGAGCGGATTGGGAAGGGGGTGGGGTGGAGAGAGGGGGAAGAAGAGGGTGCCTGGGACTGGCCCCAGATCCCCCAAGTTGCACACAGCCCTAGTGATCTGATACGGAGTGGAGTGGTGCCTTCCCTTGTGCCAGCAGGCCTGAGACAGCTGGCTGTGGGGTCAGAGAGCTGAAGGGCAGCCCTGACCTGAAGGGAGTCTGCGAGGGCCTGGAGTGGAGCTGAGAGGGGTGGGAATCATGGCATGAAGGGTGACAATACGCAGGGACACCTAGCTTGTGGACTTGGCTTCCCCTGCAACCCCCTTTCCCTCCCCCCATCATGCTGCTCTCTCTTCTCCCTGGAGAACTCTGGCCTGGACCACAGGGTACTGGCTGTTTTGAGCAGAGTTTGACCCCAGCTGATGTGCAGTGTGACGGAGAGGCCGGGAGACGCGGAGTTCTGTGCCGATGCTGGTTTAGGTGTCAGTGACAAAGTCAGGCTGGGCTTCCCAGAAGCCCCTGGCCCGCGGAGCTACACCAAGCTCCTCCCCAGATCCTATGGCGTGGGCAGGCCCTTGTGATCAGGCTCCCCAAGAACTGACCTTTCCCAGGAGCCACCTCTTCACCGCCACCCCCACTGATGTGGGTGGCCCCCGCCCACCGACACAGGCAGGGAACACCCAAGGACGTGCCCTCAGCGTCTTTGTTCTTGACGCTCGTTACCAGCGCTGAGGGAGCTGGCTTCTCCTCCTCCCACAAGCCCGGAGCCGAGGAGGGGGGAACGAAACTGCCAAAAAAGTGGAAATAATGAGAAATAAACAGGGATTGGAGCAGGGGAGGAGGGAGAGGAACCGTTTGCTGGCTTGTCGATTAGCACACGATATTCTCGGGAAGAACCAGGCTGTATGGAATCGGCGTCATACATGCGAATCCCAGCTCCTGGGTTCGCTAGCCCTGTGACTTTGTGCAAGTAACTGAAACTCTCTGCGTTGGTTTCCTTACCTGCGAGCTGGAGATGATGATAATAGGACCTCCTGTGCCACGTGAGGTGATTATAAGACGTGCGTTGTGCCTGTAAAACATTTAGCACGACGCCTGGCTCAGTGTTAACACATGGTGGCCAGACCGGCCCATTTGCCTGAGCAGCGAGAGGTGAGGGGCGATGCGGTCAGGAGGAACCCGGGCCACAGGGACAGAGGGCAGGCTTCGCGGGCAGTGCTGCTCTTCTCCTCTGGCTCCAGCTGAAGCAAAGGCCTGGGGCACGCCAAGGAGGGGGGGGCTGGCAGCCGAGGAAGAGGGCATAATAGTCATCCTTTCTCTGTTCTCCCTCTCACCCTGGGACCTAATGACCCTCTCCCCTGGACCTCCCCCAGCTCTATGGCTACTGCTACCAGGACAGCGAGGACATCCCGGACACCCTGACCACCATCACGGAGCTGGGCGCCCCTGTCGAGATGATCCAGCTGCTCCAGACGTCCTGGGAGGACCGATTCCGAGTGAGCAGGGAGGAGGGCCGGGCCCTGGGCTCTTGGCTGGGACGGTTCACCCTTAGAAGGACAGCCTACTGGAGCAGCTTCCACCACTACTACTCCTCCTCCTCCTCCTCCTCCTCCTCCTCCTCCTCCTCCTCCTCTTCCTCCTCTGCAGCGGGGGAGGGAGGGAGGGAGCAAAGCTGACTCGGCCATCAGCCAAAGGGTTAAAGAGAGAAGCCAGACATAGAGGACCCAGACTTTCTTTGTGTTCCAGCTACACACACACACACACATGCTTCCCTCACACACACACTCAGCCTGGCTGCAGAAGGGTCCACGTCCTCCTGCTCTTTGCACACACTGGACTGAAACCACACGCAAGATGCAACTTCGGGGAGGAGATCCGTTGTCCCCAGACATCCCTGCTGCCCACGTGTCACTCACTCCGTGTTGCTTTCAGGGACAGGTCAGCCAGGGGTTAATAGAAAAATCACAGGTGTGCTCTCTAAGGCCCCTGGCCTCAGCCCTCGGTGAGCACTAGGCTTTTTAAGTAAAAGTCAGCCCCCCTTCCCCTCCCCCCAGCTCAGTCCGGAGTTTCCCAAAGGAGGGAGCCCTGGAGCCCCAGGAGAGAAGCAGTGAGCAGCCTTGTGTCTGCCCCCCTCAGATCTGCCTGAGCCTGGGCCGCCTCCTTCACCACCTGGCCCACTCCCCGCTGGGCTCCGTCACGCTGCTGGACTTCCGCCCCCGGCAGTTCGTGCTGGTGGACGGGGAGCTGAAGGTGACGGATCTGGACGACGCTCGCGTAGAGGAGACGCCGTGTGCCAGCAGCGCCAACTGCATCCTCGAGTTTCCGGCCAGGAACTTCACCCTGCCCTGCTCGGCCCAGGGCTGGTGCGAGGGCATGAACGAGAAGCGCAACCTCTACAACGCCTACAGGTGACCTCTGCCCCCTGCGCAGAGGGCCAGCGAGGGAGGGTGGGCCGGGAGGGCCAACAGGAGGCCGGCCAGAGGGGGAGGCTCAGCCTTGACCAATGGATCAGCAGGAGGGAAAGGCTTCCGCCCGGTCAAGAAGGGAACATTCAGGCTCCTGAGGGGGAGGCTAAAAATAGCCAGCTCCAAGGAGAATCTGGGTTGGGGATGGCAGCTGGAGGCTTCTTAAAATAGTGTCAGACTCAGAGCTGAGGGCCATGACACTGACACTGCCCCCGCGCACCCCCCCCCCATTCACCTCTGGAAGCTCCTCCCGGGCCCCCAGCCATGGAGCTGCTTTCACACTGGTCCGTCGGGGTAACCTGGGGCTGAGGGGTGGGGAAGGCTGACTTTAGACTTGTTTGCTAGGTTTGCTGTGGTCTTAGCAGATGCCCAGACCCCAACCCTGAGTCTGAGTAACTCCATGTACCTTCTGGGGATGTGCCTCGTTGGGAGGCCTGGGGAAGTAGACACCCTAGAGATCATCGGGATTCCATCCCACGTTGGCGTAGCGCAGTGTTTCCCAAACTTTTGACATATGTGTACCCCTTCTATAATTTTCGTAACGCTGAGTACCCCTCGTACTCATGAGAACGTAGAATTAGGCGCAGCTAAGCACGGTGCAGTGCACATCCCCACCAAACTCCGGTGCAACGGGTACTCTTCCCGTACCCCTGGGGGTACATGTACCACACTTTGGGAAACACTGGCGTAGAGGAAGGATGTGTCTCCAGAGGCTAGACCACTGAGCCCCTGGTTTCTCTCTCTCTGCTCCAGGTTTTTCTTCACATACCTCCTTCCCCACAGTGCCCCGCCCTCACTGAGGCCTCTGCTGGACACCATTGTCAATGCCACAGGTGAGCTTCCCGGGGCCGTCTGCTTCCCATCCCCGGGCCCCTCCCCCAGCAGGTGTGGGGACTAGAATGACCCAGGGCAGCACAGGGCCCGGAAACCATCATTTCCCAAAGCGGCATTCTGGGGGGAACCTCCTCCCCAGTCCACTAGTCCTCGGGGCCCAGAGGGAGAGAGGGAAAGGCCACTGCCTGCCCCAGGAGAAGCAGGAGCCCACGGCCCCACTCAGCGACACTGCCCCCTGCAGGAGAGCTCACGTGGGGGGTGGACGAGACGCTGGCCCAGCTGGAGAAGGTGCTGCAGCTGTACCGGAGCGGGCAGTACCTGCAGAACTCCTCCGCGGACAGCAGAGCCGGTGAGTGGCCCCGGGCGGCAGGGACCCAGGGGCTGGGGAGGTGAGAAGCGGGTGGGAGGGGGACCAGTCCCCCTGAATGGACTAAGTAGCTCCCCTCCCCTCTAAGGGTTACGTGGTGTGATACACAGGTGGCTGACCGTGTAGCCTTCCCTTGGAGGTCTCCTCTCTGGCTGAACTAGAACTAGAACTTGACCTTAAACCAGGGGGATGTGGGGGGTTGGCACGGACACTCCTCCTCTGGGTGGCTCCACACTGCGCCGTGGGCTGCCTGGGTGACTTTGAGCAAGTTCCACCTGAGCTTCACTTTCCCCATCTACGAATTGGGCTCAGCATTGCCTGCCTCACAAAACGCCTAACGGGCCGGGCCGTAAAGACCAGGTGACGGTGTGTGCCAGCCGTGAACCCGGTTCCCGTTGCACAGCTGGAAGGCGGCATCTGTTTGCCTCTCTTTCCTTCCGCTACACATCGGGGGCTAGGAGGGTGGCGGGGGGCGGAGGGGGCCCGCACGGAAACCTGGGGGAAGCCCTGGAGCAGGGGGAGGATTCTGTCACTGCTCAGGGTCCCTCAGTCCCTCGGCTGAGGCCCTGGAGCGGAGTGTGGTTGGCAGGGGAGCCAGGGGTGGGCAGCCTTCCCCTGCAGGGAGCGCTGGCCAGTCGCAGGGGTTGGGGAGCCCTCGTTAGCCCTGTAAATAAAGTTTAACGAGGTGAACAATGGCTGGCTCTGTCCCTGAGGACGCCGTTTATGGGGCTGTAAATCACGGCCGCCTGGACTTTGGTCGAGTCCCTGGTAGAGGGAGGCAGGAGGGCGGGGTGACCAGAGGCCCCGGACTCCTGCATTATCAGGCCGGGGCTGGGCTCGCCAGGCGGCGGGAAAGACGGTGACCCCGAAGCCTGCCACCCAGCCCAGCCTGCTTCCCGATCCCAGCAGGTTTCAGAAGCTCTTTCTGTATGATGGGGAGACCTCAGATTCCTCCTCCAGCCTCCTCCCCAAACACTCCACTGATGGATTCCTAAGTGGTGATTTTTTGTGGGTTTTTTTTTTTTTTTTTTGCATTTGTTTGCACGCCTCTTCCCTTCAAGACTCCCTGACCGCCCCCTTCCCCGAGGGGCTGGCCTGGCCTCTCTCCCCAAGCCCAGGGGGAAGGCCACCCTAGGCCTCGGGGCGTCAGAATCGTAGGCACAGCGATGTCTGAGAAGCCCGCTCTCCATCCACGTCCAAAAGGCTCTGACTTCAGCAGCCAGCCGAGACGGCCAGTGACTCTGGGTGTGCATTGCTCTTACACATGTGCCCGTCACCGTGCACTTCCCGGGCCAACTGCATGTTCTTGGATTTGGGGGATGCGTGTCTCCCCAAAACTAAATCTGAGCCTTGCCTTTCAGAGGCGTCCGAGTGCTGGCTGCATTCATCTCCGTGCTGCAGGCACTGGGCTGGATCTCAGCCCCTTGAGTCCTCCTGTCCTTTTCAGAAAGTGACCGAGCCCTCCCCCAGGGGCTCGCAAAGTTCTCATTCGCACTCCACCCCCCACTCCCAGAGTACCGGCGCCTTCCAGACAGCACCATCCCCGAGGAAGACTACCGCTGCTGGCCGTCCTACCACCACGGCGGCTGCCTCCTTTCCGTGTTCAACCTGGCCGAGGCCGTGGACGTCTGTGAGAGCCACGCCCAGTGCCGGGCCTTTGTGGTCACCAACCAGACCACCTGGACAGGTGAGAAAGGACGTCAGGAGGGGTGTGACCGGACTTCCCAGAAGAGAGGGATAGGTCATGTTCCCTCATCAGCAGCCAGAGATGATGATGAGACGACAAGAAGGCGGAGATGACAGGAGACACGTATAGGTGCCCTCAAGGCCGTCACCCTGGGGAGAGCGGCCCTGCCTCCAGGGGGAGAAGCATCCAGACCCATTGACCTCTCACCTCCGCCCCCAGGTCGGCAGCTGGTCTTTTTCAAGATGGGATGGAGCCACGTCGTCCCCAATCTCCACAAGACCGCATATGTGAAGTCCTCTCGCCGGCCTGTCTGAGGGCTCAGCTGACCGCCCCCGCCGGCTGGGCTTGCCTGTGACTGGCCCTGGCAGCATGGCGCGTCGCCCGGAACCGCTACGGAAAAGGCTGACGTCCGCCGAGACAGGACAGACAGACGAAGGTGCCCAGGACAACGTGCAATAATGCCAAATGTTAAAATGTGAGTTTGCCGGGCTAGGGATGGGTCTGCTGGCTCCAGGGCTAGAGACTCTGGGGGCAGGCGGCCTCTGCAACCCTCTGGGCTGCCAGCAAGGCTCAGGCTGGTCTCCGCTCGGGGGCTCTGCCCTCCCTGGGACAGTTCCGTGGGCAGCCCCATCACTGTGTTTGTAGTGTGAGAATGTAGCCAGAGCCCCGGCGGCGGCTGCTGCTGCTGCTGCTGCTGCTGCTACTACAGGTGCCATGGCCTGGCGGGGGGCTTCGGGGGCCACAGAGCGTCTCCCCACTGAGCTCCAGATGGGAGACTTGACGGGATGCCACAGGAAGTCCGTGATGCTGCCCTGGGGAGGCCACTCCGGCCACCGGACCGGGGTTTCCCCTGGGCCAGCCCGGGGCCCGGGGCAGAGGAGCACACGTGATTATGAGCCAAGACGTGGGGTCGAGGAGCAGGTTGCGGTTTGAGCCAGGACCCGGAGCGGGGGTGGGGCCAGGGCCTTTCTGCCTCATTTGCTTTCAGTGAAAGCCGACAAAACAGCCAAAAACAGCCTCTCCCTCCTCCTGGAGTTTGTATATCCAGAAGCTTTTGTACTTCTTGTTCATGGAAATGTTTATTTTTGTAAAAAAAAAAAAAAAAAAATCAATCAATTAATAAAATGACATTTCACAGGAAGGCCTCCTCCCAGGCCTCAGTTTCTCAGGCTGACTTACTAGTCCTCAGAGATGTCTTCGGCATGATTGCGGGGAGGGGCGACGCGTCGTGAGGGACGACCTCTGAGGGAGTGAAATCCCCACGGCAAACCCTGAGAGCGGGCAAAATGTGTCTCCAGGCCCTGGTCTTTTTTTTTTTTTTTTAATTTCTTTATTAAGATATCACATATTTGTCCTCAATCCCCCATTCCAATCCCACCCCCCTCACTCATGCCCCCACCCTCCTATTATCCTTGACCACTGGTTAGGCCCATATGTGTGCACATAAGTCCTTTGGTCGATCTCTCCCTTTTGCCCCCTCCCTCCTTCCCTTTGAGGTCCAACCCTCTGACCCATGGCTCCTTATCTCTGGGTCTGTCCTTGTTCATCAGTCTAGGTTGTTCACCATTTCCCCTAGATGAGTGAGATCATGTTCTACTGGAAATATACTTACAAGAATCAAAAATGAGACAAGCAATAATCGTTATGCTGAAAAAGACCCTGCTCTTAGGGTGCTCTCCTCCCTACTTGGCCGTCCACCTCCATATCCGGACAAAGGACAGGAGAGAGTCCTTCCCCTGAGGAGGTTCACATTCTCACACACACCAGCTGCTCCTATGCAGAGCCTTACCCAGAGGAGCGATGTCCAAATGGGGGAATGTCGACCACCTCAGGGAACCCCAAGCTGCCTCCCGTCAGGTCAGCCTTGCCTGCGGACAGGGTTGGTCCTCGCCATCACCACCACTGCCTTCCACAAGGTAATGCCCACGTTTCAGAGTTTTCCTCTGAGCAAGAAATATACAGAAAGCAAAGAAAAAGGAAGGCCTGGGAAGAGACCCAGCCCCATCTTCTAGGTTGTAGGAGGGACAGTCTAGCAGGGGAGACTCCAGAGCAGAAAGATGACCTAAGGGTTCAAGATCACATACTGCGGCCAAAAAGAGTCATGTAGGTCGTTTCACCTGGAATCCTACCTCTTCTGCTTCTAGAACATTCCTAAAGTGCACAAACCTTAGAGAGTTTTAGAAAGAATAACCAAACTTTTAATCCAACTCGATTTCTTCTCAACAGCTGTGGTTGGGTATAATTTCTCAAACGCAAAATGTCCTTGTAGCCCTGGCTGGTTTGGCTCAGTGGATAGAGCATTGGCCTGGAAGATCCCAGGTTCCATTCCGGTCAAGGGCACATGGCTCAGGTTGCGGGCTCAATCCCCAGTAAGGATCTCTCTCATCATTGATGTTTCTCTCTCTCTCCCTCTTCCTTCCTCTCTGAAATCAATTTTTTAAAAATGTCCTTGTAGTTCTAAACGATGGGGGAGCCGCTGTTAGTTCCGGAGTCGTCCTCATGGACGTCACTTGGACCCTGCAGTTGTACCTCACCACCATTATGGCTGACCCACACACCCCACATCTTGCCTCTGGCTACTTGGGCCTGGTGATTGTGGTTGGAGGAGGGAAGTCAGGGCCTCCACAGAACCTCACACCATGACTCAGCCAAGTCAGATTGCCCCCATGCTCACCACCCTCAGTCACCACCTCTACAAGGAGGCCTCAGCTTCCATCAGACCTCTTTTTTTTTAAAATATATTTTATTGATTTTTTTTTTTTTTTTTTTTTTTTTTTTTTACTGAGAGAAAGAGCAAAGGATAGAGAGTTAGAAACATCAATGAGAGAGAATCATTGATCAGCTGCCTCCTGCACACCCCCTACTGGGGATGTGCCCGCAACCAAGGTACATGCATGCCCTTGACCGGAATCGAACCTGGGACCTTTCAGTCTGCAGGCCGACGCTCTATCCTCTGAGCCAAACCGGTTTCGGCCGCCCCAAACCTCTTTCCGCAGCTGCATTCATGCACAATGCGCCCTCTTATTCTCCAACTACCAAGCAGTCAGTGGGGTCCTGAGAGCAGGAGGAGACATGGCACCACCCTGGGCCTAAGGAGATGCCAAGGGGAAGGCGTAGGAAGGGCTGAGGGGTCTGTGCATGCCAAGGGAAACAGAACCTGGTTCCAGTCAGCAGAGAGGGTCCCAGGGCTCAGGGGCTGTGGGACCCGGTGAGAAAAGAGAAAGCTGAAGATGAACCCTGGCACTGCCTTGTGAGATTCCAGAAGTTTCCAGGCAATGGGTTCACTGGCAGTCTCTGGCCTCCGGGAGGAAGGGTTATCATTCTGATTTTAGATTCCTGGACACTGAAGCCCAGGTCACCGCTGAGCAACAAAATCCAGCCCTCACTTCCAAGCCTGTCCCGGAGAGGGGGTTGTGGCACAGGGAATCTAAGAGTTAGGGAGCCCAGCTTACGTTGAGTGTGTGACAAACGAAGACGGAGGGTCCCAGCCTGCTTCCTCAGTGGTGAGAGCATCGGCCTGCAGACCAAAGGGTCACCAGTTTAGTTCCCTTTCAGGTTCCTCAGCCTCAGTAGAAGTAGGGGTTCCTGCGGGAGGCAGCCAGTCCTGAATGTTTCTCTCTCTCTCCCACTCCACCCTCCCTCCCACTCTTTCTCTGGAAATCAATGGAAAAAATATCCTCAGGTGACTGTTTTAAAAAATAAGAATGGAGGTCCAAAGCACAAAAAAACCTCCTTAGAAAGATGCACCCACAACCAAAACCGGTTTGGCTCAGTGGATAGAGCATCGGCCTGTGGACTGAAGGGTCCTGTGTTTGATTCCAGTCAAGGGCATGTACCTTGGTTGCGGGCACATCTCCAGTAGGGGTGTGCAGGAGGCAGCTGATCGATGTCTCTCTCTCATCGATGTTTCTGTTTTTCCCTCTCCCTTCCTCTCTGTGAAAAATCAATAAAAATATATTTTTCTAAAAAAAGAAAGACGCACCCACAGGTGGCTGAAAGGGTGGTGCATAGCTCCTTCCTCCAGGGGAGAGTCTTGCCTCCGAACCTCGGGCAGACTTGGCCGGGTCCATCCTGCAGAGGAGGGAGGGCATGGAAGCTGGGAATGGACGGAGAGGTGATGGAGGGCCCTGGAAGGAAGGGGACAGTGAGTGAACGCCTGAGGTTAAATCATGACCCACCCCCAAGATGGCCATTCACGTGAAACCACCCGTCCCATTCCTGGGTCCTTTGTCCCCTTCCTGTGGGAACCAGAACCACCCCCCTGTCCCCAAGCTCAGGGCCTTTCCACTCCCCTTCCACAGCCAGCACGGAAGTCAGTCACCTGGCCGAGGCCTCTGGGGATGGTGCCAGGAGAGGGAAGCCAGAGCTGAGTCCTTCCTAGGCCTGCACACGCGAGGCCAGGTGACTACTGGTCCCCGTGAGAGGCTGGGGGGACTCTGGCCACTCCTGCCTTTTGCTCCCTGTGTGAGCTGGGCGGTAGCAAATCCCCGAGCCTCCACGTCCCCGTCTGCAAATGTGAGATGAATAGTATCTGTTCCACCGGAGTGTTAACAGCAGTTGAATGAAGTCACGATGCAAAGGTCTTCGCCAGTGTCCACAAACAGCGAGTGCTTGGGAAATACCGGCTGGCACCGTCCTTGTTATTGTTACGAGGGAGCGGAGCCCTGAACATCTACCCGCAGCCTGGAAAAGGACCCAGGCTGGCTGAGGAGAGCCAAAGCACAGCCAGGCTGACCCCGGACCCACCTCTCACAGGCCCGGCGGGGAACATTGCCACCGCCTGGAGGAGGTGGGGCCCAGTTCCCCGGGTCAGTGCCCCAGGAGGGGAGTGCGTGGCAGACAGAAGGGGGAAGAGGATTTACATGAAAGCAGAAAATGGGATTAGGAGGCCTTAGGGTAATGTGCTCACCCACCCCCCCAGCCATGACAACGGCTTCTTGCTTTCACTTTATGGCTTCTGAGCCGGGAGCAGAGCGTGTCAGGCTTAGTGCCCCCCTGCTCCCAGGGGCAGAGCCGGGAAGAGGCGTGGTAGACCCAGAGCATGAGGCTACCCAGTCTGCTAGGGAGAAGGGCGGGGATGCCACGCTTTCTCGTTTAATCCTCACGGCAGCTTTGTGAGAGGGGCGAGAGCCCAGAGGTGAGGAGCCAGGAGTCAAGCCTAGACGGTTGCCTCGGAAAGCTGTGTTCCTTCCGCTCTACCCACTGGCTCACACAGGAGCACAGGGTCCCCACTGGCTCTACCCACTGGCTCACACAGGAGCACAAAGACCAATGACCCACGCAAGCCTGCCCCTTCCCTTGGGAAGGATTCAGA